CCTGACAAAACTTGTTTCTTATGCAAACATTCTCACACCTAAAGCCTAAGGCTTTATCTTAAAATACACAAGGTTTGCCTTCTGTTGTCCTGGATTTAGGGACCTTCCTTTCTGTGGTCTAGGCCCACCCTCACTCAAGCATTCAAAGTCCCTTTCTTATCTTCTTCACACACCCCGAAACTCCTTTCCTGACCACTTCTCTTCCCACTAACTCTCTCTGCAGGAACTTAGATGGAACATTTTTTTTTTTTTTTCCAGAGCCATTAGTGTGCTGTGTTTTGTTGCTAATAGTAAAAGTAGATATTTTTGCTGATAAATATATTTTAAGAAATGTCTAGTGAAGAATGTGTTAGTCAAGATATTCCCAAATTCACACCATAGAGGCATCTGCTTTTACTGATTCTTGCTCATAGTAACAGCTGCTTAAAATTCTAAAATAACCATGCTATTTAAACACTATAGCTACTTATAAAAATCTTGGTTCTAAATTAATAGTGTTTCAATATATCTCGCCAAAAACCAATCAATAAAATAAGATCACTGTGTAGAATTTTATGCACTTCCTTTCTGACTGACAATTTGAGGGTAATTTCAATGGTAATTTTGCTAATGTCGAGTAAAAAAATATTCATTCCCCACCTATCAGGAAATATTGTCAAATAAGTAATTATGGAAGTACCAAGAATACATGTGCATCACAATTTGTGTAACATCACTAAACAAATGAGCAAACAGTAAACAGCTACTAGGATCCAAGTCTTAAACACTGGCGATCACCAGGCTGAGGACCTCAAGGTCATTTCTATCCAGCAGAGGAGACAAGCACTGAACTTTCTGTTCAATCACAGGCAGCACTATATGTGTATATTTTCAAATTAAGATATTAGAATTTGAATGGTGAAATTGATTTATTCATTTGGATATTAGTTCTTCCTTATACTCTATTATTTATAGTGCTATCAGAGAGAGAAAATACTCAAAACAGAGCTTTTGATAATGTATTTCGGATTTTAAAAGTGATACCTATCTGGCTGGAGATACTGTCTAATGAAAAGTGTTTACTTAGCATGTATAAGATTCTAACCTGAATTTCAAATACCACAAAAAAGAGAAAAACAAATAAACAAAGAAGCACATATCAAAACTAAAAAATACCACCAACAGAAAATCATACAAATAAAAGCAATGTTTGTATATTAAGGAACATGTAAGAATATTTTTACATTGCTTACATTTTGTTATATTTCTGAAACTTTATTTATGTAATGGGGTCCTATTACAAACATGATCGTATGCCATTTTTTCTCTACTTTTGATTATCTCATATACATTTTTCTAGAAGTTAAGAAAATAAGAACCAGAAGGTCTATTTTATTTTCATAAGAAATAATCTATCCTAAATCTACAGCAATGATGTCAACATTCACAGGACCCATGCAAACTCACACCAGACAAAAACCCAGCATAGGCCTGGGGAAATAGACTAGAAGCCCCAAGCTTAGCCAGAGAACTACTGGCAGCTGATCACTGCTGGGTGAGGGAGAGTTGGTCTTCTTTAAGGGAGTCACACTTGGGCTGAACAGGCTCCAGTGGATGAACTCACACTGAGGGACACCTGGGGACACAAATTCAACTCTATAGGCCTTAATATACATGATAGAATGCATAGAATATCTGTTAGGGGGGCTATATGGGAGTGCAGATAAGGGACAGGGCCTTAATGTGATTAAGATGTATTGTAGGAAATGAACAAAAATTCAATATGTTTTGCTATGGTAAGGAGCACTTCCTGATACTTGTGCTCTTTCTACCAGGTCCTTCTACCCAGGTCCTGATGGATCTCCTCTCCCCTGAATCTCTCTTCCAGATTTCTGGATTTTCCTTTGTAAAGCTACTTTTTACTAGTCTTGCCTCCTCCAAAGTTTAGAATAGACTGCCTTTAGGTTGGAACTCATTTCTGTCTTGAGTCAGAGGTTTTTTTGTAAGAGCTTTCCCTTTTATCTTCTCTCTCCCTGTCCTATGATAACAACAGCTCTCTTTGCAGACCACAGGAAGCTGTTTTCTTCCTGTTTTTGCCATTTCAGTGTCCTCCCCTTTCTCTTTCTAATTTTTATATTTTTCATTCTTCTCAACCTTATTCTTAAGTCCCTAACATACATTATAAATCCCTTCCCCTTCTTCCTGGGACAACATGTAGTTTTTATTTTTACATCGTCTTTTACATTTTTCTCGTTGATTGAAGTGTGTAAAAGGCAACTCCCAAATCTAACCAGCAGTCACACTGTTATGCTAGCTCTTACAAATGGAATTCTTACTATAGAATGGACAGTGCACCAAGTACTGAGCAAATGTTATTCTTTGGGTCCTCATAGAATTCCATTTCATTTAGTAATGCTTTGTTTGTGCTTAAAATGACAAAGAACCTAAAGTATGTGACAACGTTTAGCAATATATGCACACTATCTATCATGTCATATGAGAAGAAGAACAAAAATTGGAGGTCAAGTGGCTTCTGGCATTGCCCTAGTTGCTCTCTGATGTCAGGGTTCTCGTTTGACATCTGCAGATTCCTCAGCCTTACCGTACAGATACAACATGACTGCAGTATCTTCTGGCATAACACTGTCAAACCATCATATTCAAAGTGACTGACACAGGAGGGAACGGTACACAGTGTGGAGCTTTCACAACCCCCACACCCCGCTTTTGGTCTTTTTGATACAGGGTCTCCCTGTAGCCCTAACTGGCCTGGAACTTGTTACGTAGATCAGGCTGGACTTGATCTCACAGCAACCTTCCTGCCTTTCCCTCTCCCTCTGCCTCTGCCTCTACCTCTGCTTCTAGGATTAAAGATGTGCAACACCACACTCAGATTCGTATTTCCTTTTTATCAAGAGCAATCTCTCCCCCAAATATTTCCCAAGAAATCTCCCCCAGAGCTCAATGCACAAAAGTTTGAGTTTATCCCTTAAGATCAAAAAGTATCTGAATAATGCCCAAGTAAAATTAGGTAAATGGATCACAGAAAATGGTGGCTTTTTGTCTAAGTAATTATCCTTATGAGCTATGTGGTATTATTAGGAAATTAAAGCTTACAAAAGGTAAGAAATAGGTATAAGATCATACAACTAGAAAGTATTAAAAAGATGATTTAAGTCAGATCTTTCTAAGTCCTTCAAAATCCCTATCCTTAGTCATTACATTCAAGGGGTTCTCTGGAGAGATTCAGCATCTAACTCAGTTCAAAAGAAATGATTTATAAAGAAGCCCTTTGGTCCTTAACATCATTCTTGCTGCTGTAGGATAACCAAATGTATTACCTACTTTGGGACAGAAGCCCAAGTTTGAAGAAACAACTAGGGTATACCTGATTATTATATTGTAAGTTCAATTCTAAGAGCTGCATTTCTAAATAGGAGTCCACTTTGGCTTATAGGAGTCAGCATGAGCTTCATGAAGCTGTAGAGTGTAAAAGTTACAGATTTTAACCAGTGGGGAAAAGAATAATGCCTACCTTGAGAGGATAACTTGAGTGGAAGAAATAAAGTGGGAAACAGAACAACATGAAAAATGAGGTCAAGTTCTAGCACATCTGATACCTGCAGGAATTTGAGCTGCCAGCATGTAGTTGAAGAATGGTTGAATGGACACATAACTGGGTCACATGGGCATCACCACAGGGTACCATCCAGGGAACAGAGCTGGAAAGGGAAAGAGCCCACCAAACAATAACATCAACTGAGCACTCAATGGGAGAAAGACTTGAGCATGAGGGATAGCAAAGCTTGTAAAGGGGTTCATAGTGGCCTCAGAGCTCCCTTTGGGTTAATAGAGTCTTTTAAGGAATTAAAAGATCCTGTCATTTAACCTGTCTGTTGCTTTATTCCTCCTATAACACTAAGAGTTTAAATACTTCCACTCTTCGACCAGAAACTGAATTAACAAGGTAAATAAAGGATGAAGTCTGGGGCCCTGGACCATAGCCACACAGAGAAGCTCGTGTGCCTCAATTCTGGTCTTGGTCTCTTGACACCTGAGACTGTCATCCCAGTTCTCTAGCATATCATAGAGCTCTTCACACTTACTGAGGGGAAGCAGGACACCTTTCTTTGTCCACATGTCTGTGCTCGTTTATAGGAAAGTACAGCCAAGAGAAGCGGTGGTCTGGAAGATAGTTTCCAACTCTTTTAAGTGAGTTCTAACTATATAAGATTTTCAGATTCATTATTACAGTTAGGCATACTTTTTATTTTTTGTTCTCAACATTCTTTTTGTTGATTATAATATTTTGGTGATTTTCCCAAACAGGTTTTCAGGATCACAATTCCAGTCAACATGTATGATTTACCATAAATTACAAGTCAACTTGAACAGAGGCTGATGTTTAAAGTGGGGTAAGATCTATGCTGTAATCAAGGGCAAATGAAAAGCTCTTTGGGTGTATCTTGCCACAGTAGATTAGAGCTGAGCCCCAAATGATCTAGGTTATTAAATCTTGATAAAATATCAGAGCTTAAAATTGAGAACTTTGAAGTAAGAAAAATTTTGTTCTCTCTTTCCTCTCATGTACAAATGTTCACTTGGTTCTCCTGGATCCAAAGGAAAGACTGCATTGTCCCTTTCTATTGCAAAGACCCCACAGGGTGTGGCTGTCCAAGGGTGGGTGGAGTATTATGGAACTTGATGCTATCATTGAGTACTGGTTAGAAAGGAGAAAGACCTAAGGATGAGGGGTAACAGATTTTAGGTAACAGATTTAAGCTCATGTAGATATTGCTAAATTCTTAAATTTCCGAGTGATGTCACACTTTCAACAAGTTTCTTAAATTGTGCCTTAACATACAAGCATTTTTTTTTCTAATGATGTCTTTATGAGTAAAATGTTGAATCATACAAAGGATATAAATTAAAAAGTTAAAAAAAAAAAACTGTGTGGGAGGGGCAGAGCCCTATAAAACCAGTCATTACCTTGTCTAAACTGTGACAACTTCCAAGGAGCATATACTGTCAGACAGCAGCTCAGAGAATAAGGAGGTAACAAGGTATTTCAGTCATTTCCCTGGTCATCTTTAATGGATCATGGTTTCATTTTTTTCCTCTTGCTTTCTATTAATGTTTTAATGCATTTATGTGAGATGTTTGTAGAGGATGAGTTTTAAAAAATGTAATGGTGCTTTTCTTTTTTACTTGCTTGTTTTAGTGAAGATATTTTAGCTTAAGGTTTGAGTTAAATCTTTTATAAGACTTTATTTTGAATCTCAGAAACCGGCAAATGCCTATGTGCCATTAACCAAACTGGAATATATGTTTATTAAAGTTATGATATGAATATTGTTGAACAGGTTAGAATATGTACATTTTATATTAGCTGTTGTTTGAATTATGAATTTGACAGAAAAAGCTTCAAATATTAAAACATTTTATATTTGAGCAATTTAAAGTAATTGCTATATTAAATATAAGTAAAAGGAGAAGCTCAGTTTTCATTGACAATCAACAGAGACTGCAGAAATTAGACAGCAATTTGAGTTGTGCCAATCCAAATATATTTATAGAGTTATTTCAAAAAGAAGTCAATTTTGTGAAAGAGAAATATCAATGAAATTAACTAATTGGTTGATTGAATAGGGAATGTAATACTTAATAAGCACACAATTATTTATTATGTAAACCATTAACTAAGATACTGCTTCCAATTTGTGGGACGCTTAAATGGTTGTTTTTGATGGGATGTTTCCTTCTAACTATTGTTTTATCTTAGTTCTCACTGCTTTTTGCAATCAGCTTAAAAATGTTTGTATTTGTGTGGTTACACATAAAAACTATTTTTGAAAATGCTATAGAAAACTCCAACTTAACACCTGGGGCCATTGGGGAGAGGGACTATGACAGGCAGTGAGCTTCATAGCACCACCCAAATTTATCACCTCTGCCAAGTTTCACTGGTGCATTTGCCAACTTCCATTGCAGGAAGCAACAGAAACAGGAGGGAGCTCAACCCTGCAGAAGATTTCCATTCATTCATCCCAATGGCAGCATTAAACTTAAACAATAGTACTAGCATTGTATTTGGAAGTGTATGTAGTTGGAGTTTTATGGCTTAGTATACTGTGCAGAAACTCAGAACAGGTGTGCTTGTTCTGAGAGGCTATGGCACTGACTTCAATTTTGCATTGTTTGGGGAGAGTCCCTTCCCAACATAATGTGTGAGATTATCTGAGTCAGGGAACACTACATGCATATGAATATATGTTTGAACCTTTCAGGTATCATTTGAGAATATTATAGAAAAAGAGCTAGACTTGAAATCTATAGAATGGGATCCAGCCTAGACTCTGAAATAAATTAGCCTCCCAATATCAACATCTTCACATTTTCATTACTGTAAAAGGAATTCCAAAGCTTATGTGAGGAGTAATTATTCATGTTAGACTTATAACATCTGCCTGCCTCTGCCTCTTGAATTTTTTAAAAGAAATAAATGCATCTGGGAAAATTTCACTCTTCTAATTATTTGTATTCTCTCTACCAAATACCTTAACATTAAACTTAGTATTAAGAGCCCTTTCTAAACTTTGTTAATATCAATGTGACAGGCTGGACAGATTGTTACAAGGACCTAGGAATAGGAGACACCGTAGTTTACTATTGGGCTATGATTCATTATTCGCATTTTCACATGGGAACAGAGAAACATTTTATTCATATTTTTAATCCTGAATTTGTTTCCAGAAGGATTGGGATAATTTATTTAGAAAACCTATGCATGAGGTCTAATTAATTATAAAGTATTTTAATTTGCTGGGGGAAGAAATTAATTTCTGAACCATACACCTTAATTTAGCATCTTTGATGAAGCAAGAAGGAAAAACATATTATTTTTCTAAAATTTAATACGTTTTCTAGGAGCATTACAGATTTTCTACTTTCCTCTTTTAATTTCCTCTTTCTAATATTTCTCAATCTATAACCTCCTTGACTCTGACAATCATAACAAAGGCCTGCATCAGCTTGTGAGGCATTCGAGGACCTAGGAGACAGTGGACTGCTATGTCAGAGCTTGAAACCTGTAGCATTGAGCAAACTGTGGGATGTCACACAATCACGTAACATCTAGGAGCATCAGGATGGAGCCTCTAAAACACAGACAATTGTATCTACTTCCTATGGTTACAATAACAATTAAATGAAGGGAACAGGGAGGTGTACAAGCTTGGTGTCATGAGTTTGATACCTGAAATCTACAGGTTTGATACCTAGAATTCCACCTTTAGGTGCAAGGAGAAAATGGACTCCATAAGATTATCCTCCAACCTCCATATGCCCTCAATGACATTCACTGCCCCCCCCAGACATACTCCAATGACAGCACATTTTAATTTAATTTGCTATTTTTGTTTTTACAAAATGCATTTGGGTTGTATTTTAAATGACAAATTTTGTACAAATTTCTCTCCATTCCTTGAAAACAAAGAGTTCATCAGGCAAGGGTACACATGGATTAGAGAGCCAAGAGCTGACTGGTCTTTGTTGAGGAGTCGGGCTTGGTAAGACCACAACACATTTGTAGACGAAGGCAGCGGATGCTGCTTGTTTCATCCAGAGGAGTGCCCACTCCTCCCTATCTCTGGGAAGTCATCCTCAAGGTTTCCAGAGAGATGAAAGTTGGCAGTGTTTGGTCTATTTAGGTATGTTGGTAATTATAGGTTATTTTAGACTATTAAGAAAGAAAAATAGACAATTAGGAAGAGGAGGATTGTCTAGCTTTCCTTCCCACAAACACACCCTTTGGGTGTGTCCAAGCATTCAACTGCACACGAGCCTTAGGTCATGGAGGGTGTGTCTGCCCTTTTTAGATGGCTGATAAATTGTGTGTGTAGGTGTGTTTCTTACACTTTGGATTTCCTATGAATTCCTGTGGGTACTGATTTCTTATCCAGTGAATTTGGCAGGAGAGGGAGATACTGGAGTGAACTCCCCAGCACAGGAACTCCTTTTAAAGCTAGGCTGTGACAGGTGTGGTGAGTGTAGGGTGGAGTAGGTAGGAGTGGAGGGGGAAGTATCAACCCTCAAACAAGTCCATGCACTTCCAGAAGCAGAGACCTCAAAAGAAAATTGACTGTCTCAGTAAGAATCTGTGTGCGTGTGGCATTCATCTGGATATGTATGCTATTTGCTGTGTATTTACATGTTTGTGTGTGGTGTGCGCATGTGCAGTGTGCATATGAGTGAAGCACAGAGGTTGAGAATGGACCTGGAGGTCACCTATCTGGTTGTGATTCCCTCTCCTACCCTTTAGACTCCAGTGGCTTTCCCCCTAGCCTATGGCATAACAGTTCTTTGCTCATAAACAGCAATAACAGCATTTTCATCACTCAATTTCAGTAAGGATCAAATTATTAGTACAAGTAAAATGTTTAGTTACGTTTAATGTTTAAATTCTGGTGTGTCTAACATGTAGACAGCAGAAACTCAATGAATCTTGCTGTTATTGCTTTTTTATTATTATATGGAGTACCACAGAGTGTCACTCCTCATTACAAAATAGTTCGTTATATCTCAGGATTGGCTGCATAGTTTACAGAGTCTGGGAAAAAGTGAAAGTTTGGGTCTTCTTGTTTAAGTTTATTAAGATTTCAAAATGGTGACAGGAGAATGTCATATCAACCACGGGCACTTTGTGGCTGTACAGGGTGCATGACTCTAAAGTTAACTATCTCTGCCCTCCCACATTTTGTTCAATGGAGGAAGAATGGAAAGGAAACCCTTGACGGGGCACAGCGTGTTACTTTACTGACTTCAGCCAGAATGTCATAGAATCATTTAGATCTGTTTTTCTCTTTTCACTTTCCTTCTAGATTGAAACAATGGAAGAACTTTATGTAGCAAATACCATGTTTGCCCTCAGTGTCTTTAAGCAACTGGAAAAAATAAATTCTGGCCAGAATATGTTCTTCTCTCCATGGAGCATCTCTTCTACCCTGGCCATGGTCTACCTAGGTGCCAGGGGTGACACTGAAGACCAGATGGCCAAAGTAAGTTTGATGTAAAGTTGGCATCAGGTTTGAGTGACTCCTTAACTAATTGCAGAATTGCTCTTTTTTATTATCAGGTCATCTTGATTCTAAGGAAGCAGGAATCAGAGCATGCTAATACATTTGCATCCTTACGATATAGATTCCTTAGGCTTAAATCTATAAAATAATCAAGTCAGGAAACTGCTAAGCTGTAGATATCTGCATCTATCATCCTGTAAGGCTAAAAATAGTTGCTAGTGAAATCTTTCATTTTAACAGTTTAATGCTCATACTTTTCAAAGTATTTTGCATATGCTACTTCACTTTCAGTCAAATACCACTTTCCAGATGAGAACACTGGCAATCGGTTCCCACCCATGGCTCCCTAACTCCTATCTTGGGCTCCTTCTGTCCACTCTATCATTGTGGGGTGCTTGTTCCCCTTTCCTATAAAGAATTTCTCCTAATGGCTTTAAGCCATTGTCTCAAAGAGAAAAGGTACCATGACTTTGGTCAGCACCCTCACAGAGATACATCTGGCATCAAAGGACCTCCCCACACTATCTCTTCTGTGAGGCCATAGTGGGACTGGACATTGTAGATGGACAGTCTTCAAAAAAAGGTGGATAGGATTCCGGGCAGCTGTGTCAGAGTTTTCTGTGTCAAGGTTTTAGCCTGCTTTCCGTGCTTAACAGACATAGACCCCTTTTCTAGATTTCTGAATTTTCTAGATTTACTTCAACTGCATACTACAATACTTTTATAAGGGATTAATCTAACATAGTTAAAATTCTCATGATCCTATTACTTGCTAGTCCAGATGCCTGAATGTGGGCATCAGATAATTAAAATGCCATTGTAGTCACATATGTAAACATTAAGAATGAGTGCTTTGAGTACAGCGAGCATTGTGCTTTCAGTCACACCAAAATGCCACCGGCTTGTTTCTAGTTTCCCATAAGAATTGCATAGAAGTATAAATACATCCTTCTCGGTAGCACAGTAACCCATCTAAAGTCAGCCTCCTTTCAAGCACAGTTTCACAGAGACAACATTGACCAATCTTGTAGGAGGACAAAAGATGGAAGGATTACTTTCAGTGCTAGTAGCAGTTTAAGCATCAAGACTTACAAAACTCAATTGCCCAACTCTGGTGCTATCAGAATTTTGTAACACCCCTTCCTCTTTGTTTTCTTTGCCTTGAAAACCACAGCAAATTGCATTAAAAAAAAACAAAACCTTAGAAAGCATTAGAATTTTATTTTTAAATGTAAAGAACCAGAAACAACATATTTTTAGTGTAAATCTCAAATGAGGTGCTATGGCTTATTAAAAAGTTATTTGATTCTAAAGGAAAAATTTACCCACTGGTAAGTTTGGGTAGAGATGGATTCCTTGCATTGGAGAAAAACTTTCAGAATGTGGAACCATGCAAGGATTTTTATATAATTTTCTTATAACTCTATTGCATGACTAGGTTTTAAAATTCAAGCACTAACTTATTGGTTTCTAAATAAAAAAAAAGAAGAGAATTTCATTGGCTTGGGGAAGAAGCATGGGTTTTAAAGCCAGGCCCACTTATGTTTGAATTATGGCTTTGCCACTTTCCTCCTAGATTAAAACCTTTAGATGTGACGAGTGCTATGGCTGCTCTCAGATAATTGTATGAGGGCATTGCAACCTCCCAAGACTACGGTTTCTCATTTCTAAAATGGTAGTGAAAGCTTAAAGCTTGTAAGACAGCTATATGGTATGCAAAGTCTTTGGGAGTAGTAGTTGTAGTAACAGCTAATTCTTATTAGTGACATAGCTAAGGACCTTTCTCAGGACCTCTTAGGATGTTACATAATTCAAAGTCCCATGACGTAGATGCAATGATTATCATACTAAGTTTACTGACAAGGAAATTGGTACATCCAGTTGGGAACTGGTGCAGATGGAAGAGGTAGTGGTGGTGTAATAGAAGAAAGAAACAAAATAGACTGTACAAACCCCAAGGGAGCATAGGTCTATGTGAGATCAGGGTGGACAGGAGGGATGCTTGTCAGCTCTATGTTTAGACCTGTCCTGACCAGGCTGCCTCTTTGGAACTCACCATGTACCAGAGTCACCTAACATGTCCATTTTGAAGAGTCATCGCCAGTGAGGTTTGCAGTGGTTCAGGAAGACTTTCCTGATACTCAAGAGAACCCTGACTTAAAGGTCAGTTGCTTTAGAAGGGAAGAAAACTAGAAAAGTCATTACAGGAAATGTCTCTCTCTTCAGAGAGTATGGCAGGATCTATGGCATATGGAGCAGAGGGAGGCCCCTGAAATGCCAACACGTTTCCCTCTAGTCTACAGATTCTCCATTTGACTGGGCACAGCTGCCTATTCTTCACTACAATGCTCCAATCATTGATCCATTTACAATTTCAGTTCCTCCTCACCATGGGCTTCATGGGGAAGTGCTGCAGGGATAGAGGATCTCAATAACATTGGAGGTGTGGGCACTATGAGTGTGAGTCTGAAAGAACAAGCTGGGCTGGTGACAGTGTTGCAGAAAAAGGTATTTGATGAAGCTCCTTAGAGGCTAATAGTCACCCATTGACTTCACTGGGTACTTTGAAACTGTCCACTTAGGATGAAAGAGCCAGGGCATGGTGCTACACCACCTTCAAGCCTTTAATATCAACACGAGGGAGGCAGAGGCAGGTGATTCTCTGTGAGTTTGAGGCCAACCTGGTCTACATAGCAACTTCTAGACCAGCCAGAGCTACAGAGTGAGATCGTGAAGAAAGAGAGAGAGTGTGTGTGTTTTATGCTCTCATCAACTGCCCCTACGTTGCCTCTGCACATAGATGTTAATTTGTCTCTCTGTGTGGGTATGGGATGTATAACTATCTTGGGAGATACCTGCTTATATTTAGTGACCCATTTTCATGTGAAAATTTGTAATGGCTTATAATCTTCCACAGTCTGGAAATGTATTTGGAGAGAGAGACAGAGAGACAGAGAGAGAGAGAGAGAGAGAGAGAGAGAGAGAGAGAGAGAGAGAGATTTGAGTTAGCTGTATTACTTATGTAAATGATTGGTATTCAAAAGACAATTTATAGATTTATGGGCTGAGTGAAAATTTAGATAATTTAGGAAGATGTTATAAATCACCTCGTGATAAATTGTTTTCCAATGGCTGGTATATGAGTTAGCATAACAGACTGCATGGTTTTCTGAGGTAAATTTCTATTGACTGATAATTGAATATCACACAGATAGGGACTGTCTATGCTTGTTTGCCACATACAAAGTCAGAGAGCCAAACATAGGAGCACTGAGTGGTACCTAAGCCACTGGTATGCAATGATATTTCTGCATGCCCTTATCATCATTCTCTGATCTGATTGCAGGTGCTGCAGTTTAACAAAGTTGGTGGCTATGACATCACCCCGGGGACCCTACAGAACTTCAATATCTGTAATTTTACACAGCAGATACAGAAGGGAACTTATCCTGATGCTATTTTACAGGTACTTGGCTTCATTCTTCATATGCCTTTTGTATTCTGTTTCTAGAATTTTCTTTTCTCAATATCACAGTGTTGGAAGGAATGGAATATAGTACCTCCATTCACAGAATGGATTCTAAGACTCAAATTGTGGTAAATATCCTAAGGACATCCAATAATGCATGGCAGACCCAGGACAGAATTCAGACTTTATGATTTCTAGGCCAAGGTTGATTTTCAATTCTATCGCATCCCTCTGCTATTAGTTTTATATATACATATATGTGTGTATACACACACATATATGAGTGTGTGTACGGTTTATTTTAAAACTCTTCTCTGCTATAGTAGAGATAGCTAGAATTCACATGTGGGTTGAAATAAAAGGATGGGAAGGACAAGTAATTAAGGAATAGTGAAGGGCAAGCCTGGTGACTGCATGTGAAACCAAAGACCCTCAGGCATCCATTTATCATCTATCAATCTATTTACCATTTTCTGTTATCTATATAAGATCTCTCTTATCTATTATCTATCACTTACCTACCTATTGATAATCTATCCACCCTTTTTCATTTACTATTCATCTACCTATATCTACTTACCTGTCATTCCTATTTACCTATATATCTCTTTATCTGTCTGTCTTTGTGTCCATCTGTCCATCCATCCATCCATCCATCCATCCATCCATCCATCCATCCACTGTCTATTGTAGGCAGTAATACCTTTGTGTCATACTCCATATTCTTAAAAATCAGTGATCTGGTTATATTATAGAAGCTGGGCATGGATATACTCCTCTTGGTGACTGATTTCCAGGGTTATGCCCATGATTAGATTATGTGTTCAGGTCTTCTGATAGTCCATTCACCCATCTCTAGATTACTGTAAGATAGAGGCAGTAGAAAAAGTCCCCATAATGTGGAGCAGTCACAAGTTTTCTGAGATACCTAGAGGACTCCATCCTTTGCTCTAACCCAGTTAGTATTGTGACTGAGTCCCTGTCTGCCATACTGCAAGCTGAACACTGGATTTCTCTTGTGTGTGTGTGTGTGTGTGTGTGTGTGTGTGTGTATGTGTGGTTTTAAGCTTTATTTTCTACTGCATAGACTACCTTGTAAAATCTATAGAAGCTATGAGAACCTTAATAATATTTTCTCCAAGCTTCATTGAGAACTTCATAATTAACAAGTAAAATTTTATGTATTCAAGATGTAATATATTTCATGAATGAAATACCACAACCAAAATAACACATCCATCACATAAATATTCACTATGTGTCTAGGAGGGGCATTTAAATACAATTTTGTTATAAACTGCAAGAAAAAAAGTATAATCTTACTAAGTATAATCTCAATGATGTACTTTATATCCTGGGACTATATTCATTTTGTAAACACAGTGAAAATTCCTTAGAAACCCTGGAGGTTAGAAACTGCAACAGAACCCACATTTGTTCTAAGCTGTTGATACTTTCTGGTTGAATCTATTCTATTGACATAGCAAAAATAGACACTAATAAAAATGTATCTTTATAGCCCTAATGTACATCATTTTTATTTAGTTTGTTGGTTGTTTTTGGTGTGAGGTTGAAACAAAGTTTCATGTGGTCCAGGCTGGCTTTGAAGCCGCTCTGTTGCTGACACAGGTCTTGAATTGTTCTCTGCCTCCCAGTGCTGGAATTGCAGGTTTGAATCACTGTGCCTGTCTATTTAATACCATATTTTTACCCAAATCTGTTTTTCAAAGTCTCCAAAGGACTAGAAAAACACGCATGAGAACAGCTTTTTATCATTTTGCTGAGAAAATGTTATTGCTTCAGACGTCCTGGGTTAGTAGTCCTGTGTTATAACAGTGAATCTCTTCTTTCTGTTAAGGCACAAACAAGAGACAAAGTTCATTCGTCCTTCCACTCTCTCAGCTCTGCAATCAACACAGGCTCAGGAGACTATTTACTGGAAAGTGCCAATAAGCTGTTTGGAGAGAAATCTGCAAGATTCAAGGAAGTAAGTGAAGCTTGTAACAGGAATGATTGCTTCCCAAATCCACTGAGAGGTCAATTTCATAATTCTCTTTAATTCCTAGGAGCAGAGTCAAAATTCCAAGCAGGCTCCCTAAGGATGGCCTCACTTATAACCACTGTCCCTTCTAGTCCCTCCATTAGTTTCTCCCCTTCTTGTTGAAAATGTCCCGCCTGAATAGCAGTAAATCAGAACAATAATGCAACTGTTCTCCTGAGTTTCTAGTCTCCAAGCTGAATAATGCTGTTCTTGTACCATCTATACAGTGTTACCAATGCAAATTGAAGATAGAGCTGGGGCTGAAGTGCAAGGCTGGGCTCTAGCAGATAATCTGTGACTTGCACTGTTCTTGGTTCTGTCCATACCTAGCCAGCTTCTTCCTCAATTCCTACTCCATGTCTCCTGGTCTTGACTGGATCTTACAGTTTCCAGTCACATCCTCCTTTATACGTATATGTTCTAGGTAACTCTTGGCATTTTCTTGCTTTAAAGGAATACATACAGCTCAGCAAGAAATACTATTCTACAGAACCAGAGGCAGTACACTTCCTGGAATGTGCAGAAGAAGCCAGAAAAAAGATTAATTCCTGGGTCAAGACTCAAACCAAAGGCAAGACTAGGAAATAATTTCTTTTTTATTCCACATAGAAAACTCTGATGAGTTTTGAATTTGAACTGAACCATCATTCCCTTAAAATTTGTCCACCCAACTCTTTTTCACTTCTTGCTGGGTTGAGCAATCATCACATAAT